ACCAAGAGGTCTCTTCCTATAGAAGAAAGGAAGGAAAGGCGATGGAAGGGTGGGGGCATGGCTGCTTGCTAAAGCCTATGTCACAGGGTAAACCTGCCTTTGGAGGAGAAAATGTATAATCATGTAATTTGCTGAGGACATCCCAGGGTAGTGAGCCAAGGAGAACCCGGGGGTATTGGAGAAATGTTGGGGTTCTCATTGGTAGAGCACGTGTAATATATCACTTGTTGGTTATGAGTCCCTACCCCAAACTCTCTCCCTTGCCCAGTTGACACAGCACTAGGCACTATCATTATCTAGCATTTCTTGGACAATTTACATGTGTCATACATGACATGTCCTCAGGGCATTACATACGTTATCCTATGTACCTCTCACCATTACACCATGAAGTAGTTATTGAGATGAAGAGCAGCTAAGGACTGGCCCAAGTTCACCATGCAAGGAAGCAGTAAGGTTAGGCTTTGTAGCCAGGCTCCCTTGCTCTAAATCTAGAGCTCCTAACAACTAGGCCATCCCTAGTATTTTCTTTCATTTTTAACTTTCATTTTTAACTTTCAGCAAGGAAAGACTGCCTTGTTGGTGGCCTCCCAGAGCAACCACAGCCTTGTTGTGGACATGCTCATAAAAGCAGAAAGATACTGTGCCTGGAGAGAGGTAAGGAAGGAGGATACATTAAAAATGCATTTTTTGTCGTGACATTTCCTCAGCCATGGAATCACCTCTGTTTTCTTCGGGGGTGGGGAAATAGCAGGGTCATGACAGAAGCAAGGGACACAACACTGAAACATCCCTCATCTTTCCTGTGTCAGGCAGACAGTACTCACACTCTGAGAACTGCATGCTAGCAATGAATTCTGCCAGGCTGGAAAGAAGACCCAATGATAGACCTAGAGGGCTCTCGCCCTGCAGGAAGGTGTTGCAATCTCTGATGGATATTCAGCTCCCTAGTAAGGGAGTAGTTGCAATAGTGCTCTCTTGTGTACATTATGATAACAGCACCCTATTAAAAATTTTTTTGTCTCCATCTTGAATGACAAAAATGATCCAATGACAGATAACATTGAAAAGGTAGTCTTGGTTACCTCCTTACCAGTTACATCTGAAAATATTTACTCTGAAATAAGGCAACAAGCAGAAAATGTCTAAAATCATTTGGTACTATTACTTTCAATTTAGAAGCATGGTGAGAGCACCAGGGATGCACCAATCAACTTTCCTCTGACTTTCAAGCAAGACCACAGCCAGTAGACCAGGCATATTCACAGGAGACCAGGCATTTTGGGGAGGAGAATGAGGAAGGTGACAGGGGGACGGGAACACTGAACAAAGTCATAAGGATAGTTCTCCACAACCAAGAATTGTCTCACTCCAGAAGCTACTTGGCCCCTGTTGGGAAACGGCAAGTTAGTGTCTTTGAAAATGTCATCTCTGGGTTGGAAGCAAAGAGCAGGCAGCCTATTGCTTTGCCAGTTGAGATCAGTGCTAAAAATTACTCTGCCAAAAATTATCGTGTCAGGGAAGATGCTTTGAAAACTTATCAATAAATTAGGTAGTATTATAACTTACATGTAATCATAACCATTTATGCAAAATAGAGCAACATCTGCCCTTTTTTGTTTTTCATGATGCAGTTTTACCTGAAGCTGAGACCACACTTCCACAAATCAGACACCCGATCCAATATTCTGTTTCAGGTATAAGGAATAGTGCCTGGGCGATGCCTGCCTTCCATGGCATTGTCCGCCTAGCACTGGGGAAGTGTATCCATCAGAACTCCCAGGGAGTGACTAGAGGCATTTTCTGAAGGGGTGCAGGGCACGGGCTCTGAACTTAGGCCTGAACTCCAATGCTAATAAGCTGTGTGATGTTGAGAAGTTCTGTAACCTCGCTGTGCCAGTGTTCTCACTGATTAACTAGGAAAAAAGGGATCTATGGCAAAGGGCTGTAGTGGGATTAACTGTGTGATAGTGCCGGCACACAGTAAGTGCTTAATAAATGTTAGCCATTAATAATAAATTTTATGCCATTTCCCCCCAGAAAAGATCCGTCAATTCAAAAGTGAAACTAACTCAAAACCTAAGAAATGTAGTTTCATAAAAGCCTAGAGAAATTGTATTTAAATGATTTTCCACTCAGCATCCAGTCCTTTGAAGTTCAGCTCTTTAATGCCATGAAGTTCCTCTCGCAGGACTTTCAGCTATGAAGATGGTGGCAATAGGATCCCTAACAGATGAAAAAGTGGTATTCTACTTTCCAACCACTGAAATGAAAAGTCAAAAAACATTTCTGGCTCTTGCTTTAGGCAAGTTGTATGATTTCCCCATTTGTCATTTAATGTAACATATGGAATAGCATAATCTAGAAGCATTTTGTACCTCATGTTTTAGAAAAATGTGATTGTGGTAGCAGCATTATGGCATATAGGGAAACTGGGAATTTTAAGATAGACATGGTTTTGAGTCATGATTTTGCCACTTTTTAATTATGAAACTTTGGGCATTCTACAGTAATAATCAAATTTCCAAATCTCCAGTTTCCTTCTCTATAAAAATGGAAGAAATACCTGCCACAGTGGTATGGTGAGGATGAAGGGAGAATGCCTGTAGCCTCATGCCCATAGTATTGACCTTGTTAACTATTATTCCTCTTGTGAAACTGGCTTTGGAAATTATAGTCACTCTTGGCTTTCAATAACACATATGTGTAGTATGTATGGAAAGACCAGAAGTATATATACCAATATTTTTTATCTCTTGGTGATTTATAGGTGACTTTTTTTGTATTTCTTTGTACTTTCTAATTTTTTCCATAATGAACATGTATTATTTTTGTAATCTGAGAAAGTTATTAAACATGAAATCAAGCACCAATTTATGGCAGTTTATAGGCACCTATTCATTATAATTTAAGGCTCTCCATTCTCAAATTCTGACTCTAGGCCTGTAAGGCCAGAAATAATATCATGAGCAATTTCAATCCAGTTAACCCTATCATCAACTTATAGTTCTTCGTCTTTGACCCACTTAACATTATGAATGTTTAATACAGTTAATATGTTCACATGATTCCCAAGTTTTAACAAAGGTATTCAGTGAAAAAGTCTTGTCTCCATCTATTCTTCAGTATGGCCAGTTTCTACTGACCTTGCTCCTCCTCTTCCTGCCCACCCCCACCAAATCTGGGTAACCGCTTTATAGAAAAAGAAATATGAATACATACTCTTATTGTATAAAGTGTTTTAATTGTTGAATTTACGTTAACTTAGGCTAACACTAATTACTTGATGCTTTATACCATATAGCTTCCAAAACTTAAAAGTTTAAATAAGATTTATAATATTCTTAATCACAGTATTCATAATATTGACTTCAATTTGTCCACATGGTTAGGGCTTGCACTCTGAAAACTGCTCTTAATTGTAATTGAGGTTCTTCAAAAAACGGAGACTGAAGCCAGTTTACGTGCCACTGCTTCTTTGAGGAGTGCAAACTCAAGGGAGCAGGAGCGAAGGAAAAGGGGCGATATGGCGACGGAGGGGAAGCCTAGACCAGGGTGAATTACTAAATTGGCCATCTCTTGGTACCAAGCACAACTTATTTGACCTCGAGGGTACTCTTTTCCAAAATATGAGAGATAGGACAGCTATGCATAGCGGGGAGAAAGGAAGACTTCATCTATTTATTATACCATTCAGGGCTGGGTGAGTGGACTGCAAATGGAGCCTGCCTACTTCTCATGACTGGACTGGGAGGGGAGGAAGCCCGGGGGAAGGATGAGGGGGAAGGAGACTGCCCTCTGTACAGGCAGCAGATGAGGTGCTATTGGTTTGTGTTTGTTGTAACCCATGAGCTGTTTGCCAGAACCCAGAACAAGTTTGGCATAAGAAGCCCCAGATATTTCTAATAATTCAGAAAAGCCTTGGATTGGCCCATTAGAAAACAGGCTGATGTCCTGTTAACAATGTAAGGACATAAGAAAAACTCTCCTGTAACACAATTAGAGCATAAAACTAGGTTATGTTCAAAATGGAAGAGGCTTCAGATCATTAAATCTATCCACTCCTGTTAACAATATGGAAACTGAGGCCCTGGACAGATTCTTCAGAATCTACTCATTTTTTATGCAACCCATAAGTACTTTAACCCTGGCAGCCAGCAATAAAGCCATAAGAAGCCTGGTTCTGTACTCCTTGGTCAGTTCTGCCCAGATGCTTTCTTCCTATTGCCAGCACTAAAAAGCCTCTCTTCAGGCTTGGAAGATTTGCCCAGGGCTACCCCACTCTAGGACACTGGATGTTTAGTGAGAACAATATGGATTCAACTGAGGTTTCAAAAGACACAAGGAAGAAAACCAGAAATAGGATCATTCTAATAGAAAATTTTCTTTTGATGTTTCTATAACTGTGTTTTTGTTCTGGTAAATTTCTTCCCTTTTAACATCAAAAACTACTCATAGGTGTTGCCATTTCCCCCTATCTTTAATTGCTGGACTACTAGAAAATGAAGACAAATATGCTACAGTCACAAAAAAAAAAAAACCCTTTGATAACAATATCACTACTCTTGGTCTTTATCTTTTTCACTTAAAAATAAAAATACCTTAGTTTCTGTTAGTTTTAATAATTTTAAAAATAAACCTCTTAAAGTTTACTTAGTAATCTTGGAAATAATTCAGTTTTGTGGAATAATGCAGAGAAAACAGGATTTATATACTTTGATGGTATAATCAGCTACAGGCTGAGCCTATTAAAAAATATAGTCCAGTGTTTTAATTTAAAAAAGTTTTACTTAATTGCTTAAATTAAAAAAATAACATTAAAATATCCTACATATTATTTTACAAAGGATGGTGTGGCTTGAAAAGTCTCTTATAATTTTGAAAAGGTGAACATGATGTATCCATGATGTTCTAAAAATATGGAAAATTTTAAAACTAAAGACTTCTAATCCTTGGTAAAACCAGAGCACTTAGAAGATCTTAATATGAACATATTCATTTTAGTCAACCACTTTGATGGAGTGAACGCTCGTGAGGGACTGGGTGTGAGTGGATCTGGTTCCGAGGGACCTGGAAGCTGAGGTAGTACTTTCGGGATGAATAGTCCGGGGGTATTTTGCTGCAGTAGCTTGAGGAATGGTTTGCTGAAAAGATAAAAATCTATTTTAATAATCCTATAAAATTATACATATTAAATATAATTTTATCATTTATAATTTAACCCAACATTCATTAAGTGTCAAGCAATGAGTTGAAGTAGTGGTTATGATAAGTTTTTTCCATAAGGAACGCACAGCCAATTAGACTGATGTGCTCAATACCCATAATTTATGCGAAGGAGCACAGAGCGAGCCATGGGAGCATTCATTTCTCAAAGAGGACTCAACTGGGTGGGATCTTATAATGCTTATAGAGGCGAAGTGTAGAAAGGGACTTGGAGGTGTCTCAAAGAAGGGTCCTACTGCCCAAGCCCTCCACTGTGAATATGTGGAGTCCAATCCTGGGGAACATGTAGGGAATCCAGTCTGGTCCTTGCTTCAAACCAGCATAAAGCAGGTTTGTCGTATTTCAACTAGGAACTGACTAAACATTTTTTGGTAACACATGAGGAGGACTTCCCAGAGGCCTGGTGCTCCCTTCATATGGACCACAACTTTCTAAATAAAGAAATAAGTAGAGACTGAGGACATGTTGGGGGAGGCCATGTACACTGCCTCTGAGCTCAGAAGAACATCTTAGACATGAGCACTGATGCATTCAAGTCAGGACACATCTGCCTTCATCTATACATGCAACATGTTCAACTCCATATTATGTACATAAGTACACATTCATGTATACATTTGTGTAATATGTACACGTATACTGGGTAGGCTTTCCTGTATTATACCCAATACAGCTTCTCAGTAGGCCACAGTGGGATTTGTTATGCAGATGAGTTCTCAGTTCATGTCACTGACTAGCACATGGAGGTTCTGGTTAGGCTCTTCCACTTAGAAAAGCCATCTCTAAAATACTTGATGTAAAATTATATATATTTGATAAAAACATTACTATGCATTTCAAAAGCTTTATGATATAGACATGCAGGTTTTCATTTTAGATTCTGCTTTAAGAATAAGAGCTTCTCTTTAAGGAAATGGAAAAATAACCTTAAATATTTTTATAAATGTTCCTTTGTATATAAATTAATTTGGTAATTACAACAAATAGGAGATATTCTTGCCACTACTATGAAATTTTAGTTGCTAACCATCTAATCTGATCCTGTCAAAAGTGGTGCTTTTCTTTGGGGAGGATTGGCAAGAGGAACTGTAGAAATAGACTCATGTTACTCTGGTATCATGATCGATCATACAAAACCCAGTAGAGAATGAAGTAGCACCAAGAGCAAGCAATTAACCAGAAGATGGGTCTAAAGTGTCAGAGATCTAATTACTGCTTTATTAGTAATAACTTTCTGGATCTTGATTCTTGGGAAAAATGTAAAATTGTAGAGAGGCTCGCCATCATGTCTGTCATATATCCAGATCAGGTAATAGGAGCATTTTGTGGCTTTCTAATTTATGGCCAATTATTGGAGAAGCACTGAAGGTGCAAAGGGCAGTTTGTGAGATAATCATCAAAAACAGGTTAAAAGTCTTTAGTTCCTTATTTTTCTGTAAAATATGAATTTCTATTATTAATCTAAAAACAAAGGCTAAGTTAAAAATAAACATGTGTAGCCTCTTTAAAGCCTTCATCTTTTTAAAAAAAAACTATTTTGTGTTTTTTATTGTTATTTTTCTCCATTGATTTTTTAGAGAGAGTGGAAGGGAAGGGGAGAGACAGAGAGAAACATTGATGTGAGAGAGACACATTGATTGGTTGCCTCCTGAACATGGCCCAACCAGGGACGGTGATTGAACCTGCAACCAGGTACGTGCCCTTGACTGGGAATTGAACCTGAGACTCTTTGGGCTTTGGGCCAATGCTCTAACCACTGAGCACACTGACCAAGGTGAGAGAATTCTTTTTGAAAATCAATCCTGTTTCTCTTTGGGAATATATTCTTGTAACTTTTAAAAATTAAACTTTTTGAGATAATTTTTGAGTACAAGAAATAATGCAGAGGTATTCCTGTATCCTTATATATATTATATATTATTATTATTTTTTACTGATTTCAGAGGGAGGAAGGGAGAGGGAAAGAGAGATTGAAACATCAATGATAAGAGATAATCATTGACTGGCTCCTCCTGCATGCTCCCTACTGGAAATTGAGCCTGCAACCTAGGCATGTGTCCTTGACTGAAATCGAATCCGGGACCTTTCAGTCTACAGGCTAAGGCTCTATCCATTGAGCCAAACCAGATAGGTCTCCTGAGTCCTTTTCTAGCAATTTTTATTTGCTTTTGGTTTTACAGTTTATAAAGTGCCTTTCTACATTATCTCATTTAATCCTGAATTCTGAAATAAACCATAAGAGCAAAGTACTTTTTGACTCCCATTTTACACAACAAAAAAAAAAGGAAGCTCAACTATTTTCCTTGTTTTATGTATGATAAAAAATAAAATAAAATAAAATAAATAGCATTATTGGGGTACTACTTGTTTTGTTTTGTTTTTGCTTAAATTCCACGGAGACACCAACTTTTTCCAAACTACAAATATGATGACAATTGTTTTGAAGGAGAAGAATTTAAAATAAGGAGCAAAATTAAAAATTATAAAAGTAGGTAAGTATTTCTTGTAATAAAAACCTGCTACATGAACAGCTAGTTATTAATAAAGTAGCAGTTTTGGCCTCTTTTTTAAATGAATGAGAAATCATTTATATATTTTATCCTTCTAGCCACTAACACACTATATTGCTTTTTGTATTTAACAATTTTTACACTGTTGAGAAGAATGTTTCTGAAATTAATTTCTTAAAAGAGGAAAGGCAGATTCAGACAGGTGTGCAATTATAAGCATAGAAAGACAAAATAGTAAAAGGCAGAATAAGCACCAGTCATCATGAATGTTGATCTTCTCTTCAGCATGTCATTCAAGTATTTTTTGGCCTATAAATTTCAGGACATAGATTTTGACAAAATGTCAAAATGTGGACTCACCACTGTGACTGGATGATGTTTTTCCACAACAACTGAACTCATGGGAGGAGAAACTCCCATTATAGCTAAACTGCTACTAATTCTGTTTTTTGAAGCAAAATCAGATCTCCCCGTGATCCGGGCGGTAATTGTTCTTCCAGCTTTCTGTTGTGCAGATGTCACAACTCTGGGTACATACTAAAAAAGTAAAGAAATATTTAGTTAGTAGAAAATCCATGGCAAAATTTATAGCACTTTTGGTTCTATAACTTATGAAGAAAATACATAGGCACTTAAAATAATTGTATATTCAATCAACTTTAACATGAAAAAACAAAAACAAAAACAAATAAACACCCAAAAACTTAAAACAATGAGTCAAAAATCATAACATAATACCGAGCACCGCAGAGCATCCCTTTAACTCTGGTATGCCAACTATTTTATATAGTACTTCACCAACTTTTAAAAAAACCTGTTTTTGAGAAGTACTTATAAATTTATAGGAAGTTATAAAGACCATGTAGAGAGATCCTGTGCATTCTGCACTCAGTTTCTGGAAATGATTCAATTTTATGTAATTATGGGTAATTATGACATCAAAACCAGAAGGCTGACATTGGTAAAATGCCTGGGTATAGATCTATATCACTTTACTAGTGACCTGGTGCATGGATTCATGCACATTGAAAGGAAATTAATTAGAAGAAATATTTTAATATCACTATTCACCCTTTCTCTTTAATAAGTGTCAACCAAATTCACGACCGACAATCACAAATTGAAATACATGTGTGTGATTGGCGCCAGTGAGAGCTTTATATGTACTGTGCCTACATGAGTCAACTTAGCCTTTTATATATATATATATATATATATATATATATATATATATATGAACTTGCTTAATTAGACCTGTTTTCGATTTAGCTAAACTTTTTCCAGTGAAGTACCCCAGCTTTTCTTTCAGGTAATTGTCAGCAATATAGCAGTAAATATCAACATAAAGCAGATTATTATTGTAGATCACACAGGGAGAACAAAGGGTAAGATATTTGACTGCAGCAGTGTTTGACTATATTGTGGAGAAAATCTGAAGTCATTTTCAATGTCCACCGTTTCTTATTTCATTCAGTCAGGTCAAGTTTCTAAACTTTCTAAATCTCTGTTTTCTGGCTAATGAAAAGAAAATAGGATTCCACCGAGTCTCCTATCTACCTACTCCAGGGCTTCTGTGAGGATCAAATGAAATGATGCATGGGAAAATACTTAATAAGCATTTGGTTAAACTGTAAAATGTTTGCACCTGGCTATAAAGCAAGTCAGGTTCCTGGGCTGAAGAAACTCCAAGGAGGCTAGTTTCTAGGGAGAGGAAGCCAGGTGCTGCTACGTGATGTCATTACCCAGAGTCCACAACGACCAGTTTCAGGCTGGGATGGGCTGTGGCAGAATTTTGTGCCATGTGGTCTTGCCAGCATTGGCTGTGATTTGGTGGGGTATCACTCTGGTGGGGTGGTGGGGCCTGTGTCCCTTGTGGGGAAGCCGAGTGTTGGTTTGTCAGTGCCAGGTCCATGATGCCGTTTATTTTTAAATGGCCAATGTACATGGTGGCAGCTCCTGCATTGAGTGTCTTCCCCCTGGTTGTCAGTGTGCATCATAGCTACTGGTTGGACAGTCAGATAGACACTTAGGCTTTTATATCTATAGATTACATATATAGATTTGGCAATGAAGACACAGAACTATTCTATCACCATAAAGTTGTCCCTCATGCTACCTTTTAGTCATATCCATCCCTCTTACCCCATTACTCCTAACCCCTGGCAGCCATTCATCTGTTTTATGAATGCTTTTGATTCTTATGCAAATTAATATTATTGTTACAAATACTTTTCTGTTCTGCCTTTTTTCTTATTGCTTTGTTAGTTTACTTTTTTCCCCCATGGATAATCGCTACAATTTTGAGAGATTTTAATAACAACAAACTAGTTTATCTAATTATCTCAGTTCTTTTCTATTATATATAGCAAATTTTTGTGGAAATGGACTCTTCTTTTGAGAGTTATTTCTACAGAATACATTGCAAAATAATGCAATGATCAGATCATAAAGTAATGGTAGCTTTTATTGATTTTGTTGCTTACTGCTGGACAAAATCCCATAAAAATTATCTTTATATCAGGGGTAATACATATGTGTACTCATTTTTCCCCACTGTCAACTAATTACATTAGCTGGGCAAAAACAAGAGGAATAAAGGAAAGAGAACTGACATAGTCTACTTTTGTTACCGTGTCCTCAGGCAAGTTACTCTTTCTAAGCCTTAATTTCCTCACTTATAAAATGGGAAAGCAGCACCAACTGCCTAATGATACCCTTTCATTTTCATTCAGACGAAGAGAACGTTAGTAGACCAACTCTACTAAATAGCTTAAATATCCAACTAAAATCCCTCAATTATTCTAAATGAAGTTAGAAAAAGTAAAGTGCCATCTATTGTCCAACCTAATGAACTGCAATATATTTGCTTGTATAACTTGCCTAACGTGTTTTTTGAAAAACATTTCCCACCATGAAATGCTGACATTTTATTTAACACTAGAGGTCTGGTGCACAAAATTCATGCATGGGAGGAGTGTGTGTTGTGTGTCCCTCAGCCTGGCCTGCACCCTCTTGCAATTCCCTTGAGGGATGTCCAAGTGCTGGTTTAGCCTCGATCCCACAGATTCTGGGATTGAGCCTAAACCAGCAATCAGATATCCCTTTAGCAATTCAGCAATGCTGGCTCCTAACCGCTCACCTACCTGCCTGCCTACCTGATTGCCCCTAACCACTTGCCTGCTTGTCTGATCACCCCTAACTGCTTGCCTGCCTGCCTAGTCACCCCTAACCACTCTGCCTGCCTATCCGATTGAATTTTACAAGATACTATTTCACTAGAATGGTAATATTCCTTTCTCCAGTTATTTGTTTTCCCAAATCTGTACAGTTTACTTTTTGCACACATCTCCCTTTAGCTATTGAAAGTACTAAGGAAGACTGGAAAAAGTTTTGAATGTTCACAGGAAGCTTCTGTGATTAAAGTGGAGAGAAAGATAACCAGGCTGGTAAACAAGTCTTCTTTTCCTGTTCCTGACAATGATGGTTTCACATTATGTAAGTTATCTAACTAATATACATGGTGGGGGCTGAAGTAGGTTTACAGTGTGGACTATGTGAAAACATAGTTATTCTTATATTATTATTTTTAAATTATTGCATTATTTTCCATAAGAGTAACTGTAAATTCTACTTTTGTTATTATGGTTCTTTTTAAAAACAAGAAAGATGCATTGAGATAAATCTGACTATTGTTAATTATATAAGGAAAGCAAAACTTGTATTACACTTAGATTGATTTACTTGTGATTCTCCTCTCACCCTAGCCCTAAAGGCTGTTCTTATGTGAATGAAATTGAATGTGTGTCTGTTTTGGAAAAGTAGGATGTAGTTGGAGGGATGGAGAAGAGGTGTCTATGCAATATTGTTTAAGTTTCAGAGACTTAAAATTATCAGGTGATCCAATTGTTTTAAAAAAACCAGTAACAAAAAGGGTGGTAAGTACACTTATTCATTCAGTTCTTTCTATGCATTTTCAAATTTACATATAAATGCAGATTATAAATGGTGTAGTCATATTTTAAGAAGGGAATTTTAAAAAATCTAGTTCTTGTGTGCATTATCTGAAAATGCAACATGAATGAGAAACCAGAAATTTAAATAAACAATTATGTTTATTTAAATGTGATCATCTGTATAGGTTCACATTTCAAACTTCAAAAAGTTTCTTAAAACTTCTTTGAATCAAGAGAAAATATGATAAATGGCAGATCTCAAATTACTTTCCCCTAAAATTAACAGTTCCTAAGAGGTAGAAGTTAAGTCAGCTGAAATACCAAAGATGACCAATTGTCTGGCTGACTCTGCAGTGGCATCTTCTGATGGCCTGAGAGGGGACTGTCACACCTAAAACCTATTCTGCCATCATCTTTCCTCTCAGGTAAGTGGTTAGGGTGGGGAAGAGCAGGGAGACAAGCCAATCAAAACCATTGAGAACTTTATAGAACTTCACATGCCTTTATGCCATGATAGAGGAGGGAAGGGTGGAGTGTATAAAAAAAAAAAAAAAAAAAAAAAAAAAAAAGGGAAAAAAGCCTACAGAGATGAGTCAGATAAGCCTGACTTGTTTCCCTATACCTTTCTCTCTTGAGAGACACTAAAGAATACAGGTTTAAAATCAGAAGGCGGAGGAGTCAGAACCATGATGTGCTCTAACCCTTACCACATTAATAGCATGGTCAATTCCCCTTCCGGCCAGTTCTCACACAATTACTACATCCCCAGACGACGTTCTTCCCCTCTAAGCACTTCACTAATGGTGCCTCTTGGAAAAACTGTTCCTGTCTTCGTTCTAATTATGAATGAAACATTAAAATCTAATCAAATCAAGACGGAGTTACTACAGAGTAGTAGTGTTAATGATAACGTCGATCCAGGAAAAGGGAAGGCTGTAGTTGAACAGTCGTTAACCTACTAAGTCCTTGAATATACCCACGAGTTTTCTTCAAAATTAAAAACAAAGAAAACCAAATCAATTCTAACATCTATTTTTCCTGAATAGTTTTTGAAAAATGTAAAATGAAAAAGTTCTTTATTTTTGTTCAATTATCACTACTGTAGAACTTTCTATAGAACTACCAAATTAATGTTTTAGCTACTTTGTATATTAAGTATTTTCTGTGACTTGGCCTAAACTCTAGAGGCTTTTTTATCCATGAGAAAAAAGTTCAGAATACCCAGTATACCCACAAGTTGAGAACCTTTTCCTAACACTGGCACCTGCATGCACTGCACTGACCATTTCCTCTGACGCAGTGGGAGCTGTGGACCCCGCACCGAGAGGAGCAGAAACAGAGGAGGCAGAAGCAGTCCCCGCAGAGGTGATGGTCGTGGCAGAGGGAAAGGCAGCAGTGCTGGCCATTCCCATGGCTGCTGTTGCTGAGGACGGAGCTGGGGCAGCTGCTGAGAGTATCAGAGTCGAAGGATCCAGATGAGCAGGACCATCCTCTTCCTTCTTACTATTTGTGGAGTCTAGCCGTAAAAATGACAAGTTAATTTCATTTACATTCTTCCAAGTTAACATTACTTTTATCTCCCAACAGTTTTAATAACGTAATAGCTACAATTTGGGCTTGACAGAAATGGAGAAATTTGTCATGTTTTGTATACATGTTCAGTTAACAGTTTGTCACTGTTAACTGATTAATGACAGCACTAACCACTGAAGACTTCAGACCTCTTCCTTCAACATGTGAAAGTGAAGGAATGATTTGCTGTTACTTAAAAGAAAAAAATAAATTCTGTACTCCGGTGGGACCTCACAACCATTACAATAATGTTACATTGAGGATTTATATCCTTTTGTGTTAGTTTATGCAACTATTCTGATAAAAGTCCTAATATTTAGATCTTTAGAATAATTTTGTGATACAACACACTCTCTCATTTCCTTCTACTGCTCCCATCTTAACAAAAATAGTGTATTTTGATTTTTCAGCGAACAATAATAAATCAATAAGTAAATCTTGACACTGGAAAAGAAATGAGCTCTTACCGGTGGATTATTTGAGTCATGAATTAAGAGCATATTTGCATACTTAACTGATTTTTGTGACATATATATAGTAACTTTCTGTTAAAACTGAACCTTAACCTTAGATCAAAGGAGTGAATAACTGAATAACCTCAATTTTTAGAGAAGCTAGGACTAAAGGTGCTATTTTATTTTATTTTGTTAATCCTCACCGAAGGATATTTTTCCATTGATTTTTTTTTTTTAAGGGCGTGGAAGAGAGAGGGAAAGACATAAACATCAATGTGAGGAAAACACACTGATTGGTTACCTCCTACATGAGCCAGCCCAACCAGGGCCCAGGCCAGGAGGAGCTAACAATGAAGGTATGTGCCTTTGACTGGAATTGAACCTGGGACCTTTTTATCTGCAGGTGATACTCTATCCACTGAACCAAACCAAGTAGGGCAACTAAGGGTTTTTCCATACCAATATTAGAATTTGGTTAAAATTTCTACTTAAAACCATATTTTTGTGATACCAAAGACAATAGTGAGGGTTTTCAGAATATCTGAATGGCGTGTGTAACCCTATGTTTAAATAGTTTTCTATATTGTCCTCTTTCCATCTAGAAATAGGGACTTTTGGGTAAGTCCTTTTATTATACTAAATTTATATAAAAATATAAACTTTGATTAATAAAGTTTAATGAGGGCTATAATGCATGGGTCCTTTAAAATCATTTGATGAAAGAGGCTAATTCAATATAAAATACTATTTTTGCTTTGAAATCAACAATACACACACTGAGTTTAACATGCTTTGATAGAAAGTGATTCTGTCTGTTTTTAGGTGGGTGGCAGACTTCACATCAGATGTGGGACCAGTACACAAGTCAGGTCTGGCCAAGGGACTCACTGGAAGAGATGACCCATTCTCCTTATGGGGTGAGTATGCAGTTCCTGTTTCTAAGTTTTAATAACTATTCTTGCTTTAACTGGGATAAATTTTTTCAATTATGAAGCATTTTTCTACTCTTCCTAAAATTGCTTTGAAAATTGGCAGGTATTATTTTAAAGGCTATTTTTATTGTCACACTTCGCCTTCTCTCTTTTTAAAAAATATATTTTTACTAGAGGCCCAATGCACAAAATTTGTGCAAGGGGCTCAGCCCTTGCAGCAGCCCCTCTGCTGTCCTCCCACACTCCCCCCCACTGGTCATCCAGGAAAGTTATCTTGGAAGGTCATTACAGAAGGTTGTTCTGCCATCCATTCTAATTGGCATATTAACTCTTTATTATATAGGATTGATTTCAGAAAGGAAGGAAGAGGGAGATAGAAACATCAACAATAAAAAAGAAATATAATAATAATTGATTGGCTGCCTCCTGCATGCCCCCAACTGGGGATCCAGCCCAGGCGGGAATTGAACTGTGACCTCCTGGTGCATGGGTCAAAGCTCAACCACTGAGCCACTCTGACCAGGCACACTGACTTCTTCATAGAAACTTCTAATTTACGATCTATAAGATTTAGGATATTGCACATGAGATACACTGCAGATGACAATAGAAAATCAGGACAAATAAAAAAAAATCAGCCGGCACCGGTTTGGCTCAGTGGATAGAGAGAGTCAGCCTGTGGACTGAAAGGTCCCGGGTTCGATTCCAGTCAAGGGCATGTACCTTGGTTGCGAGCACATCCCCAGTAGTGGGTGTGCAAGAGGCAGCTGTTTGATAATTCTCTCTCATCGACGTTTCTAACTCTCTATCCCTCTCTCTTCCTCTCTGTGAAAAAGCAATAAAATATATTTTTAAAAAATCAAAAAAAAAAAAATCAAATAATAGTTTTTTTTTTTCTAACAAGACAGATACATTTAGGAAAATTGCATTATTAAAACTTTTATTTATAACTTTTGAAAATGAGTTTTAATTGCAGTTTCTCTTAAACTGAAAAACAAGCAATTTTAAAAATGAGAAACCATGACTAGATAAGAAATATTTAATCAACAAAATAGTCCAAGGAAATTGGCCACTTAAAGAAGACAAAAATAGATGTTTTGCACTTAGAGGCATTAGACATTCAAAGAACTGTTGTAACTCTGAGCCTATGTACTTAAGAGTCAATAGTTTACTTGCTCAGATCTAAAATACCATAAGTAACCCTGAGTAAGTGAATTTTCATGATGGATTTAAAACTAGATATGACACTATAAAGTTAAAAATACAGTGCCTGGCCCTAGCTGGTTTGGCTCAGTGGATAGAGCATCCACCTGTGGGCTGAAGGGTCCCAGTTTCAATTCCGGTCAAGGGCACATAGCTGAGTTGTGAGCTCGATCCCCAGTAGGATCATGTAGGAGGTAGCCAATCAATGTTTCTATCTCTCCCTCTCCCTTTCTCTCTGAAATTAGTAAATATATATATCTACACTAAAAGAGAAACATGCAAATTAACCATCACTCTGCTATGCCAAGCCATGCCCACCAGCCAATCAAGAGTGAATATGCAAATTAACCCAATCAAGATGGCGGCCAGCCATGGAGCTGGAGCAAGCAGGAGGCTTGGGTTACCAGGCAATAGAGGAAGCCAAGCTTCCCACTCACCCTGGCTGGCCCTGGCCTCAGCTCAAGGCTATGAAGTTTCAATTATAGAAGATAAATAAACCCTAGATAATTGCTTCCAGCCGGCCCTGGCCTCTGCTCAAGGAGGCGCTGAAAAAAAAAAAAAAAAAAAAAAAGGAGGGGCTGGGACCTTGGGTCACCAGGTGGTGATCAAGCCAGGATGGGATAGCAGGGGCTGTTGGGGGTAAGCAGACCAGCAGAGGGGCCAGTAAGGGGTGAGCAGGCCATTGGTGGGGGTCAGTTGGGGGCGAACAGGTCGGCCAGGAAGAATGGTTAGGGGCAATTAGACAGGCAGGTAAGCGGCTAGAGCCAGCAATCCTGGATTGTGAGAGGGATGTCCAACTGCCAATTTAGGCCCAATCCCTGTAAATCGGCAGTAGGAAATCCTTTGAGGGGGTCCCAGATTGGAGAGGGTGCAGATGGGGCTGAGGAACACCCCCTCCCCCTGCCTGTGCATGAATTTCGTGCACTGGGCCACTAGTATATGTGTGTGTATTAAAAAAAAATAGTGTGCGCTGAAACTGGTTTGGCTCAGTGGATAGAGCGTCGGCCTGCAGACTGAAAGTTCCTAAGTTCCTGATTCCGGTCAAGGGCATGTGCCTTGGTTGCGGGCACATCCCCAGTGGGGGGTGTGCAGGAGGCAGCTGATCAATGATTGTCTCATTGATGTTTCTATCTCTCTATCCCTCTCCCTCTCTGTAAAAAATCAATAATATATATATATATATATATATATATATATATAGTTACTAACATAAAAAAAAATAGTATGCCTGGATGAGACATATCTATTGCAGAAAATTAGTACTGTAGACCACACTAATCACTGAAACCTCAAATTCTCTTTGAAAGTAGGCAGAGACTCTTAAGTAAAGCACTAACCTGCATCATTTCTGTTTTGAAACATTGTCATGGCTTCAAGATTTAATGCACACACACCCCTCATGAAAGCTTTCTTCATGGAATCTTCAAAGTGCTCTTTTTCATGTTGCATTCTTTGGATCTCAGCTTTTGCATTTTCCAAAGCTCCAGATAACTAAAATAAGGCAATTTTTTTTTTAAAGCGTTGTAATACAAGGAAGGATATTATTTATTATTAAAAAGTAGACTTACACTGTGAAGTATTTTTAGGTGAAATACAGGTACTAAAAACACTTGGCCTGGCCACATGTCTCTTCTGCTGCATATCTCACTTTATTTTAAATGGTGCATCTTACTTTTAATGTCTGTCAACAAACCATTTCCATTTCTAACCATAAACTCAAGGTTCAAACAAGGGGAATTGTATATCAGTCCCACTGAAGGTTGCTGATGTGTTTTAATTATACAAAACAATATATCATTTCTTACCATAAATCTTTTAGTAAAATATAGAATATTAAACAAAATACATTAAGAGCCACAGATAGCCCTCACCCCTTTAGAAAAAAAATTAACTTAGTGCCTGCAATATTAATATTTTAAAAAACTAAATGATACTATAGAATTTGAAGTGCAAAGTGGTATTAGTTGCAACACATACCAAAGACCAAATCTAAAGGGACTCCATTTTTTGCATGTCATTTCCAATTGCAGAAAATTGTATAGGATACTGATTTTTAACATTAAGAACTTTTTACTATAATGATGAAATATTTTTTCCTTTTAGTATTTTATTTCAAAATTTCAAAAGGTCTACTGCATTTCTTCAATATAGTTTTTATTTCATTTTGAGTCTCAAATGTTTTCTCATGGAAACAATGTTAATTTTATTATTAGAATTCAATGGGAAAACAATTCCAATTTGTATCCAACTTTATATGAATAAAGTTTATTTAAATTAACAAGAGGATAAACATTTTTGGTTTTGGTCTCTATTTTTGGCTAAATAAAAGCCAAAAGAACTATAAGGAAACATAAGGATCTATGAGTGATTTAAATTGTCAAGACACTTGTACATACAAGAGTTCCAACGTAAGTTTGGAGGCCAGAGTTGCAACATTTAAAGAATAAATAAATCTGTGAATCTGACTCATTATTGTTCTTTCCCAAATAGTCACCTAGTCTCATTTGAAGATATACTGCGTTAAATGGAATTAGAAATGGGTCACTCTGCCTAACTACAGTAAAGTAACAGTGAGTGATACTACCCATCTTGTTTATTTCTATTAAAGGAAAGTAAAAAAAAAAAAAAGAAGTTTTACCACAGCAACTTTATTTTCATAATCATTGGAAATTTGGACACAAACTTCCTCGGCTCTTGCTTGACAAGCTCGCTCCACCACGTCCTTCCACTTCTTTTGCACCGTGGAATGCCAGCCTATCCACACTTTCTTCAGTAAAGTTCTCTGGAAGTACTGGTCAGCGAGCTTCCCTTCATAAGCCTAAATGAAAGATTATAACCTTAAAACACAGTGCACTGGTAAATATACTGGCAATAATAAAAAGAAACATAACACAGTGGCGAGCAGTGTGCATACATTATTATTTAATCCTGTGTAATTATTCTTATCTGCAGAGAGAACAGGCTTATAGAGGTTAAGTAACCTGCCCAAATTGACAGGGAAAAGCCATTCTTGCCTCATTCCAGAGCCTAAGCTCTTTCTTATCCATTACACATCACTGTTTTATGTAACTAATCAAGTTAGGGGAAAAACAACAATAAAAAATAAATGAAAGAAAATGATTAATTTGCCACTTGCCATCTTAGTTCTGAATCTGCATAAACTTTTAGCTGAAACCAGGACTAGGACAACAGAGTGGTTGGAAGGCAAAAACTGTGGCTTCAAATGGCATTGTTTTCCCTTTGGCTTGGTGGACACCACCATAAGCAAGATTAATTTAATTTACATACTTTGCATCACATATAGTGCCAAATTGATTCAAACAGGAACATACGCTATTCTTTTTATCAATGAATTTAAATTCTTTTGAAGAAGTAGTTGCAATTTTCAATCTTCTTAAATTTGAAAAGCTATTCAAAAAGTGATGGCAGCCTCAACTATTTCAGCTAACATAAAAACATTTATTTTCATTATGTCACTTGATAAATAACTTTCAAAATATGGTCTAAATACTCATTTTAAATAGCTCTTTTCAGTCTGATCAATGTAGATTGATCTAATGGGATTAATTAAAAAATGAAAGCATTAGGAGGAATCCTATTCTCTAATAGTGGAATATTAAATATTGATGTTATTAATACTAAATATTAATGTTTAAAAATATTAACATTTAATATTAATTTATTGGAATTAATGCACAGAGATCACTCGATGGCTCACATGAGCATTACATCAAAACTATATATATATATATATATATATATATATATGTGTGTGTGTGTGTATGTGTGTGTGTGTGTGTGTGTATATATATACATACACACACAGTACACACACACACACACACACACACACACACACACACACATATATATATATGCCTCCCACACTCTTGAGTCTTTATATTCTGTTTTCTTGTAGGATATATACATATTCATGTTTTTCCACTTCTGATACAATAACTTATTATTCTCTGTTTGCTTGTACTCTGATATATTGAGTTAGCTCTTAAATTTAAATTATGTATAAACTGAGGATAATTTTTTATCTTATTTTTTTAAAAATATATTTTATTGATTTTGTAGAGAGGAAGGGAGAGATAGAGAATTAGAAACATCGATGAGAGAGAGTCCACGATCAGCTGTCTCTTGCACACCCCCTACTGGGATATGCCTGCAAGCAAGGTACATGCCCTTGACCGGAATCGAACCCGGGACCCTTCAGTCCCCAAGCCGACGCTCTATCCATTGAGCCAAAGCGGTTTCGGCCTGAGAATAATTTTTAAAAAGCTATACAGACATGTCTTTAATTCTCACTCTAATGCAAGTTTACACAACAAACATTTATGCAATTTTGTAATTTACTAGTAGGAATCCGTGTGCCAATAGCTCTCTGTGGGGCCTGGCCGCTCCACGTCTACTGCCCAGAGGCCCATCCATGCTCCGGCCTGGCCAGGGGCCCACCTGTGGTCAGGCATAGAACGCAGGCAAGCTGCAGCGAGGAAGCAAGCATTCCGCCAGGCCGCTCACGCTGCCTGTTCTCAGCGGCTACCCCCTTGGGACTGGGGAACTCTGGCAGGGCTGAGAGGACTGGGTGCCTCCACCTTGTGGCTATGGGCACTGCCATCTTTGTGATGGAGTGGTGGTTAATTTGCATATTACCTATTTATTAGCTAGGAAAACTGTAGTGTTGCCTCTTTTTGAGGAGAATGTATTCAGGCATTTTAGAAGGAGAAACAAAATGGGAAGCATATGATATGTTAAAGACTGTAAATTCTTTCTCCAGATAATCATTTTTGAGTCAAATTTGTTAAAGGATTCCATTACTAAGACATTTGTAATTTAGGTACAATCCCTACTACCCTATTGTGACAAAGGAAATGATATATCAATAGATCTATAAAATATGGGGTATTTTTTCTCAAACTATACCAAAATCAAATTTCTTGAAAACAGCATTAAATTCATTTTGACTTATTAGATAATAAATCCTTCATTGACTTTAATAACAGTTCTAAAATGTGATCCTAAACAATTTTAAATTAAGAAGTCTAATATTTGCCAGTCATCTTTTCATTTTTATACTTACATCCTGTCTGGATTTGACATGTCCAATTCGCCAGTGGAAGAATGTTCTCATCAACTCTATCCTTTCCTTTTGCTTGCCTATAGCATGAGACAAGCTGGAAATCACCTATGAACAGCAATTAGGCCAATTATTGTGATGTTACAATAACTGCTGCTAGTAAAATGATTTTTCTCATATATCCAAAAGTGCTAAGGAATATCAATGGTTCACTAATTTATTAATCCAGTTAACTTCATTATTATCTTTTAAAAGACCAAAACTTCTCCACATGAATACACTATATGAAGGGGAAAAAAAGAGTAAAGAAATTTCATTTATGTAAATCTTGGTAATCACCAAAATAAATTTATGTACATGAAAATTAATATAGGGTGGGACACAAGTAGGTTTACAGTTATTCCTGTGGAAAATACAATAATTAAAAAATAATACAAGAATAAACTGTGTTTCACATAAACCTACTTGTGCCCTACCTATATGATATTGACATTTAATTCAAGAAAAACAAACATACATTGAAAGTTTTGCTACATATACAAAAAGTATTTATTGACTAGGATTGAGGGCAGAGGCCAGATTTTATATATCTTCCTAGTCCCTAAATACCTATAGTACCTTGGATTATAAGTTTCTCAATAACTATTTTATTAAAAAAATATTTTTATTAGTTTCAGAGAGAAAGAAAGAAACATCCATGATGAGAATCATTCATTGATCAGCAGACTCCTACATGCCCCCTGCTGGGAGTTGAGCCAAAACCCCCAGTATGGAACCATGACCTCCTGGTTTATATGTCAATACTCAACCACTGAGTCACACTGAGACATGCTGGCTGGCTGGGCTCAATAACTATATTCTTTAATAATTTTTTTTTCTGAATTCAATAAACTCATAAAAAAAATAGTCATACTCTGATGTACTTCTTCAGTGTTATTATTCTTGTTATTTATTATTATTATTATTATTATATTTTAAAATGTTTTTATTGATTTCAGAGAGAGGAAGGGAAAGGGAGAGAGAGATAGAAAGATCACTGATGAGAATCATCCTGCACGACTCCTACTAGGGATCAAGTTCGCAACCCAGGCATGTGCCCTGATTAGGAATCGAACCATAACCTGTCTATAGGTCTGTGCTCAACCACTGAGTCACAATGGCTGGGCTTGTTCTTGTTCTTTGAAAAAAAAAAAAAATTTATGGAGGCTTTTAAATGCTAAGACAATAATCTCTCTTATAAAGTATCGAGTAGCTGAAAAGTATATCTAAAAATGGCCACAAAAAGAGACTTTGTAAATTGGCCATATTTACTGAGAGATATTTATTCTGGTTTCTTTAAATAATTTTTAAAAGTGGAAAGAGGCACACATTCTAAGATATTGTTAATATTCTCTTTCTAAAGTTGTATGGTTGTGGCTATCTACTTTCTTTGCTTTTAAAAATTGGACATATATGTACAACTCTTTTTTATGTGTGATACTTTAAAATTAAAAGACATAAGATGGAGTTTTGAGGATAATAGAGAAAATGATTAATACTAATATCTATTTAAAAAAGTAAACTATGAAAAATGTTCAATTTTATATCATACCTTGCAATACCAAAAGAAGTGTATATATTTTTAAAAAACACTGGACTCTTTATCCAGTTAATTAAAAGTGAGGGTTGCATCTACAGACCAACAGTTGAGGTGTTTGTGGAGTCCCTCTCTCTGAAAGCCACCATCCTTCTGGGGGCAGCCACAGCTTTGTTGCCCACCTGCTTTGTTCAAGGTGTTGTCTGTAGGCACAAAATTCGCATATACCTGAACCTTACTTTAAAATTCTTAACAGGCTAACAGAAAGTGAAATCAAAGGTGCTGTTTATCAATAAAATACCAGACTTCTTCAGCGAATAAAGACTTACCACAGATATAATGTGAGAAACTTAAAATAGCCCCTAAAAAGACGGCTTAAAAACTGGATAATGCTGGTTCCCTAAAGTGCTCTTAAGGGCAGTTAGGAAGGAAAAATTAGTATGTACACTTAGCATGTACTCTTAAAAAAACCAATTTCTTGGCTCCTTAGGAAGGAAGGGAGAAAGGAAAGAGGAAGAAGGAAAAGGTGAGAGGCAGAGAGGGAGAAAGGAAGAGAGATGGAAAGTGAGGGTGAGAGAGAGAGAGATGTGAGAAAGATACATCTGTTGGTTGCCTTCTGCACCTGCCCCGGCTGGGGATCAAATCGATGACCTTCTGGTGCACCAGACTACACTCCAACCAACTGAGCCACGCCAACTAGGGCACTTCCTGACATTTATTATCTAGCAAGACATTTACTGAATCTCAGTTAAAAAGAAATATAAAAAAGAACACCTCATCTTTTCTCCCAATGGAGATTTCATAGGCTTTTTGCAGCTCCTTCAGGCTGTTGATCTGGTTGCATAGTTGTTTTAAATGTGCTGCATGTTTTTCTTTCTCTTTTTTCATTTCCATACGGTGCCAGTCAATAAAATTTAGTCTCCATTTAGTTAGTTCAGATATGACGTTTGACTGAAAAATAAACATACTGATAACTAAGCAGTTTGTTCCTTAATAGTGCTTCTTAAAATTACACCAAAATTAAGAAACACTTCTTTTAAAAAATCAGAACAAGCAATTAACATGAAAGCTATTTTTTTTTTTTAAAAAATCACTAATGAAAACATTTACAAGTTCAACAGTTTCAACTCCTCTTAGTTCACATTCACCATACTAAAGATAAAAAACTTCAGGTTTTATTCTGTTTATTCAAGAACTTAAATGTCCATATGAAGTTGGGTCAGGGAAAAGGAAATGCAGGGCCATGCACTAGGCTGAGCCATAGGACTAGATGGTATTTAGAGGTGGATTGTGGGAGCCATGGGAGCTGATCTTTCTTACCCCAAATATTAATAATTTATCACAATGGCTACCTTAACACGCTGCTGAGTCTGACCCCTTTTCTCTCCTGACTGGAATAAATAAAAAAGGCCAAATAATCATGTTATCAAAAATTAGATAATATGGTTAATTGAACCTAGAACAATTTTAGTGGTTGGTGGTACACCACTATAGTTGACTTACAGCATGAAAAGAAATATGAAACCTGTTCCATGAGGTAAATGGTAGAAACTATACTAAAAAATTATATCTGGGATCTATAGTTCAAATAACAGAGAAATATAGATGCCACAGAACTCTTATGACCATAATTTCTCTATCCATGTGAATATTCAGCTTCGTTTTCTCAAACTATCTTCAGAAAAATGGTTATTTTTCTCAACTATATATTTTTTAATTAGCAAAAAGAACCCTACCACTTCTTTTTTTGGTAAACATTTTTTTAAAGCAAGTCTTTTTTTTTTTTTTTTTTTAATGTTTTTATTGATTTTTAGAGAGAGAAAAAAAGAGAGATATAAGAGAGAAAAACATTAATGAGAGAGGAACATCATATTCCTGCACATACCCCTACTGAAGATTGAGCCCATGTCCTAGGCATGTGCACTGACCGGGAAACAAACTGGCAGCTTCTTGGGTCCTGGGTTGATGCTCAACTGCTGAGCCAAACCGGCCAGGCTCCCTGCCATTTCTGTGATACTTTGTTTTATTTAAAGGCTACTAACAGTACTACAAATAAACATCAATTTTTATAGAGCTATCAGTTATACATTGTGGTTGCTGTAAGAATGGCTATAAAATGAATACATATTGCTAAAATTGGGACTTTTTATTTCATTTAAAGGAGACATTTTCATTAGTCATAGCTACAATATAGTAAAGGCTCACTGAGTGCCTCAGTCACATACAGTCTTTCAGAACATCTGAGAAATTCAGTAGACTGTTCCATAAACTATATAAAACCTTATTATTCAAAGTATGTTTTTTGAATCAGCAGCATCACCTGGGATCTTGTTAGAAATGCATAATCTCAGGTCCTCAAAAACAATTGAATAAAAAGCTGAAGTTCAACAGAATTCCTAGGGGATTCATATGGACATCAAAGACTGAAAAGCACAGATTTTAGACATTGGACTGATCTCCTACAACTGAAGATTAAAAAGAACCTTTTATTTTAAATAAAAGAAAAACTGGAATTAAGAGCAAAACTATTATACTAATCCAACAAAGCTACCTTAAGACCTGAACTCCAAAGATCCAGTACACTTTCCACCTTTTGAAGGTTTTCTTCAGAAACAACAGGATTGCCCGCAATTATTTCATGGACACCTGCAGGACTAGAATTAGACCCTGGTGTGGAAGAGTCACCTAAAATATTTGAACTGAAAAAATCCATGACCGGGTGAAAAGGCTTCCTTGGTGATGATCCTGGTGATAAACCTAGGAGGAAAAAAGTTGTAGTGGTTACTGCAAATTGAAAACAACCCAAACTGGTGAGGACTTATATTGGAAGGCTGGAAGAATTCAGTTACTATAGAGGCTGAGAAAAATGCAGAGAAATGACCGTTCAGTGTACTTAATCTGGATATTTTAAATTTCAGATTGTCACTGATTTAGGACTAATCAGCATGAGATGCTTCCCATACTCAAGTAAAGATGCTTCATATATCCAGCTCCAGCCTAAGCTGAAACATTATTATCTGTGTCATCATATCAGCATTTTCTAAGTGCTTTGTATGTTTCTATAATAAAAATGTTATAAGGATTGGCTCTCATAATACATGCTACCCTAAGAAATACATACTCTTATCTATTTTACTGATTCCAAAACTGAGGTTCAGAAAGGGTTAAGTAATTGACCAAGGTCAGAGTGGTTGTATATAAGTCATTATTACTTTATGTAGAACATTGGGATGAGTTGTAATACTACTAAAAGTCAGCACTATAAGTAGGAAAGATTTTCAACTATAAGATACCCTGTTTGTCCTTAACATGTAGGTGAGGAATATATATACATACATACACACACACATATGTATATATATGTGTGTATGTACATATACTCCTATCTTCTGCAAATATACCAGGGTATGGGGATGGGAGTGAGAGCCAAAAAGAGAACTGGTATCTAGCTTTTAAAAAGCACAGAATATTTTATCACACATGTTTATTGGAATTAGAGACTACTGATCATCATTTCTTGCAGATCACACTTTCGCTATGAGGGTCCTGTAACTAAGATTGAAGGGCTTTTCTCTCTTCCTTACTAAGTGACTCAAAACAAAGATAAAGTTAAATCTACTAACTTGTTACTTAAAAAGTAAATCAAGAATTATCTGCAAAAGGAAGAAAATCATCCCCTAATAGGTATGTTTTGCATAAAAATATATCAACAAATGGTTTAGGCTAGTCACACTATGTAGCACTACCTATATATTCTGAAGATGGTTTAGGAACTCAAAGAATAAGGCAACATTAATAATATTTTTTACTAGCTTTTACTAACTAGATCCGCACTCATGGGCTCTGCTTTTATTTATTTATTTTTTTAATATATTACCTTTAAAAAAAAAAAACAGAATCATGGTTCGCTATTCACTTGACCAAGAAAACCCCACAAAATCATGCAAATTAAGAGGTTCAGATCTTTAAGTTCATTTTAAGAACACCTGTGAAACTGCCAAGGCCATCATAGGGATGGGAATTCAAAAAGACACCAAATATTGAAAGGATGTCATTTTATAGAAGCTGTATGTGCTATTCTGTTGTTACAATGGTGGAGTTGGTAGGTGTGCCCAGCCCAAACAGTTGTGCTGGACACAGAGTCAGTGGCCCAAAAAGAGTGCTACTTTTTTGCTGCACATACTTAAAAATGTAGAGAGTAATGCTGAGCTTCAGGGTTTAGATGTAGAGTCTCTGGTCACTGAGCATATCCAGGTGAAGAAAACTCTTAAGATGCAGTACAGAACTCACAGAGCTCGTGGGCAGATGAACCTATACATTGAGATGATGCTTACTGAAAAAGAAAAGACTTCCAAACCAGAAGAAGAGTTGCACGGAAGAAAAAGATACCCCAGGAGAAACGGAAGAAACAAAAACTTCTGGCCTGTGAGTAAATGCAGCATGAAATAAATACTAATAAAAATAAAAGAAGGGGAAAGAAAGGCCTTGGAAGATCCTTCAGAAATTACATTGCCCAAACCTTCTATAGAAGTGAGAGGCATTTCTTATATGGTGCCTTAAAAGGCCCTTATATTAAATAACGTTGAATCACCTAGTATAAAAAGTGTTCTATTTTTACTGTATTACTTATTCTATGTCAAAGAAAAAGTTTCAATCTGGTGCTAGTATGCTTTTAAAACCTCTGCAACACTTGCTAATCAGGCTGAACACAATACCACCCATAGTATTCAACCAAACTTGAATAACTTTGTTTGAGTTGCATTTATTTTTACCATTGCTTTCTATTTGTAACAAGTATATATTAGTTTTATGCTATAAACAGTAATAACATATATAACATATTTTCTTTTAAAATAAAAGCTAAAAATGAATATTTGTGAAGAAAAACACTTAATGATAGAACATGTGGAATAAAGATAGGAAGAAAATCATAAAGTTAGTACGCAAATGCCTGAAAAATGGGAAATAATGCATTATGAAAAATTTTAAATCAGCCAAACAATCTGATATCCTTTTGAATCTTTAAAAATATTTGCCCTCTTGCGCTAGCTGGTTTGGCCCAATGGATAAAGTGTTGGTTGCAGATTAAAGAGTCTCGGTAGTTTCTGGTCAAGGGCACATGCATGGGTTGCGGGTTCAGTCCCCAGTAGAGGGCATGCAGAAGGCAGCTGATCAATGGTTCTTTCTCATCAGTGATGTTTCTTTCTCTCTCCCTCTCCTTTCCTCTCAGAAAACAATAAAAATATATTAAAAAGAAAACTGCCTTTTAAGGATATCACATACTATAACAAATAAACCTGTTTGTCTTTTTTATTTTTAATATATTTTATTGATTTTTTACAGAGAGGAAGGTAGAGGAATGTAATATTAAAAATATCAATGAGAAGCATTGAATAGCTGCCTCCTGCACACCTCCTACTGGAGATATATCCGCAACCCAGGTACATGCCCTTGACTGGAATTGAACCTGGGACCTTTCAGTCCACAGGCCGACGCTCTACCCACTGAGCCAAACCGGTTAGAGCAAAACTGTTTGTCTTAATTGTACTATTTTCATTATTATAAAATTATTTTAAATAGCATTACTCAATAAATTAGCAACAACAGCATTTTAAAATCCTGCCAATAAGTAATATGCTAAAATATTCTTCTTACTACATAGATAATATTCATCAAACCACAAAATGTTGTATATTAATAAAAACAAGCTAAGGAAAATACCTTCTGTCTTTGAATGACTTGAAATATTTAAATCACGTCCTTTTCTAACTTCCGTCCTTGTTTCTCTTTCTCTTCTTACTGTAAAGAAAAATACCCCAAAGCACTTTTAAATAAAATACCTATTCACACACACCTAATTTAAGAAGGTTGAGGTATATAAATAAGATTTTAGAACAAAGATCTTTGGTGGGATTAGAAGAACATTAAAACAAAAAACAAGAATAAAGTAAGACTCTGAAACTAGAAAAAGTCTTATTATTAATAAACTCGATTCCACCCACCAAATATGGATGAAAGAGAATTCAGTCTACTGTGGCATTCAATTCACACTGAGGATCAGTGGATGAATGACATTGGAACTTAGAAAAGGCTATGCTGTCTAATAACAATGGATATTTCCAGGGACAGGCTGCTTTTCACTAGCTGCAATCAAACTAAAGTGACACCGGTTCCCCCCAAACAGGGACTTCCTTACTTCCACTTCAGGAACCTTTAGTCAATATGTGGTGAAAAGGAAAGTGAGAAAACCTCACAAAAATGACTCTGCCAACTCTGACACACTTACCTCACTTACACTAAACAACGTCAATACTAATAAAGGGAATGGGATGATAATTTACATAGTCCATTCTAACCAAGTCTATGTGTAAATCAGAATAATCTAAATTCACTGCATGTCGTATGCTTAGGTCTCAAGTACTTTGTGATAAAGGCAGAGCATAAACAAATACTACCTTACATACTAGAAAAGAACAAGGGTCTTAAGTCCCAAGTGGTTACCTTGAAAGGTTGCAGAGTTGGGGCAAGGAAAGGCCTTCCTGTGTTGTGTCACTGGGACAACAGTACAGTAATACTGTAGCCAATGGAAAAGGAAACAAGCTTTTGGTGACCACCTCGAGGGCAGGGGTAGTACACTACTAGTAATTGCCTAAATTCATTTTTAAGGAGTATGCAGCACTTTGGGTTTGCTCAGTAGGAACTCTATGTTGAGGTGCCAGTATAATCAAAACATGGTCAATATTACTGATATAAAAATTAATCAAGTTGAGTTGTATCTCTTAAAGATCGATAAATCTAGATAGAAAGAATTCAGTAGAATGAGTATATGTATTTTACAACTGTGATCTATTTGTTGGGCTAATGCAATAGGTCAGATTGAGAAGCAATGAAAACGCCATGTCTACAGAGGGAGAAGGACAATAGACACTAAGGCTGTGACTTATTAGAAAACGAGGAGCCTGTTGACTGTGAGTAGGTTGTGTCATGTGCCTTCAAGAGGGATCGTTAGAATTTACTTATTATTGATAACTGACCATTGTTAGAGCTGTTTTATAAGGAATTTCTGTACCCTTATTTAGAGTGAGCTGTTGGGATCCTGTTCTTTACTAAACAAGGGACAAATAGGTAAGAGGAGCTTCATACTTCTTTTTCAACCTTTTGCTCATCAAGCATCATACATCCTGATTTGTATTAGCTCTCAATTCTGTCACTGACATAGTCCAAGAATGATTCATGTTTGTGGTGATAATTCAAATAGTCCTCTATGCCTATATAAATACTGCTAACAAAGTCCTAGCACACGGTTCATAAACTCAAGAGTTTTTCAGGGCTACCTATGGACCATCTTTAATTTTGGGGGTTGGACATTTATTTTTCAAGATAATCCTGACAAATAACCATTAGAACAAATACAGAGATGTTACATATTTCATTAAGAGACATGCAATGGCTACAGTGTTGCTTTAAATTTATTACTTTTCAGAAAAGTAATAGTCAAAGGAAGCTCAAAGATCCAGCTGTCATATAAGAGCCAAGAAAAACATATTAAAATGTAAAGAGTTTCTCCAGATAATAGTAATATTCACCATTGACTGGAGCATTTTCACAATCATAAGTCAATTGCATTAATAAGCTCAAATAACATCTTAAATTAAGAGATGTTTTAAAAAATATACATAACCTTGATTATGGAGAATATCATCAATTATAGTATGAAATCTAACATCTGACACCATTTCTCCCTTAGAATGAGATGGCTGTGAAGTACCTGGTTCAGGATTTGGAGTCACTATAGTATAACGAAGCAATTCTTCATACTCTTCCTATGAGAAAGCAATAATAATGTTTTATAACACTGTCACAATGGACACTAAGGCAAAAGGACAACAAGAGCTGTACATATCTACTATATATAAAAGTGTGTAGCTATTTTATATTATTATATTTTGAAATGTTTTCAACAATAGGACATGGGTAGCCTTTCAACTGTAGTCAAGAACCAGGAGGGTCGTAAGTTGAGGGTTACTAATAAACAGACTCTTAGTTGGGCTGACATTTTAAGCAGATAACCAATAACACAAAATTATTTCTGGTGTGTCTAGACAATCCTTCCTTATCCCTGTCTTAAATTCTACTCTAGAGATTTATTATTTTGATGTAAAGCTTTGTCTCCTAACAAAACAACTTGAAATCTTACAAGATGCTTACATTTTAGTAATAAAGGAAGGGGTCTGGACACAACAATTACAATGTATGGGTTTTTGGAAACCAGCTAGGTACCTTACAATTCAATTCAATATCCACCAGAGTTAGCAGCAGATCACACAAGGTTCAGTCCCATAAGACAGCTCCCCATACCCCCAACTTCAGGTCACCTGTGCTTGACAGACCAGCTATGGATTGGCGGTTCCCTCCTCGGGTTCAATTAATTTCCTAGAATGGCTCACAGAACTCAACATTTCACTTACTTATAATATACTAGATTACCAGTATATTATAAAAGGATATACATCAGGAACAGCCAGATAAATTGAGGCATAGGGCAAGGTACGGGGAAGGGGCTTGGAGCTTCCATGCCCTCTCAGCATGCCAGTCACCCAGCACTTCCATGTGGCTCACCACTTCAGCTCCCTGAATTCTCTTTTTTGGGTTTCTATGGAGGCTCTATTACATAGGCATGATTCAGTAAATCATGGCCATTGGTGATTGAACTCAATTTCCAGCCCCTCTTCCCTCCTGGGAAGTTTGTGGATAGGACTGAAATTTCCAATCCTCTAATTATATAATTGGTTCCTCTGGCAACCAGCCCACCTCTTTAGGTGAGGGTGCAAAAGTCATCTCATAACAAAACACACCTTTATCATTCTCATGGCTTAAGAAATTAAAACGTTTTAGGAGCTCTGTGCCAGAAACCAGAATGAAGACCAAATTTATATTTATTACTAGAGTCCCGGTGCACAAAATTTGTACAAGGGAGGGTGTATCCCTCAGCCCAACCTGCACCCTCTCTAATCTGGGACCCTTCAAGGGATGTCCAACTACCCGGGATTGGGCCTAAACGGGCAGCTAGACATCTCTCTCACAATCCAGAACTGCTGGCTCCCAACTGCTCACCTACCTGCCTGCCTGATTGCCCCTAACTGCTTCTGCCTACCAGCCTGATCACCCCCTAACCACTCGCCTGCCAGCCTGATTGCCCTTAACTTCCCTCCCCTGCAGGCTAGGTCTCCCCCCAACTGCTCTCCCCAGCCTGATTGCCTCTAACTTCCCTCCCCTGCAGGCTAGGTCTCCCCCCCAACTACCCTTCCTTGCAGGCCCAGTTGTCCCCAACTTCCCTCCTCTGCTGGCCTGGTCACCCCTAACTGCCCTCCCCTGCAGGCTTGATCGCCCCCAAATGCCCTCCCTTGAAACTGCTCTTTCCTGCTGGCCATCTTGTGTCCACATGGGGGCAGTCATTTTGTGTGTTGGAGTGATGGTCAATTTGCATATTACTTTTTTATTAGATAGGATAAATCATACTATCACAGTATAAATGAGTTAATTAGGTCCCTCTAGGAACAAGTCTGGATAAGACAGAGATGAAGAGTATAAGAAAGCTCTGACATCTAAAAAGACAGCACCAAGTTGGAGAGGTACCATCCAAAGGGAAGGCAAGGATACATCTGTCACAATTCCCGACTGCTTCTTTACTATTAAATAACCACAGATACTTTAACAGTAGCTTCCCAATGTTTAAATTTGTTGTTTCAATTAAAGGAACACATTTGCTCATAAAATATTTTCTTTAAGCTTTTCTCATATATTTACTCAACATAAGGTAACATAAACATAATGTCCAGCTTTTTTCCTCTTAAGTGATATAATTATAAAACTCAAGATATACCATGTTATTATTCTCTCAATTAAAATCTACTCTAGAAATCTGAATCCATATTTTTGATGATAAGACATTCAGAAATAAAAGAAATTCAGAGCATTTCATATAAAACCCATACTTTCTGCAGTCAATGTATCTGTCACTGTCCAGGTAGCAGCATGTGAAGAATGTTGTGTCAACAGGGACTAGAACCCAGAGTAGAACACTAAGAAATCTAGGCCTCAGAACTTTGGGTGGTTTGATGTTGTATTAATTGGCATTAAAATGAAAGCAGCATTCATAAAAAGATAGCTACAATGAGAAAATTTCAAAAAAAAAATGTTTCTTGAGATTTCTAGCTTCTCTCATTGTGTTGTATGAAGCCTTTGTACAAAGAGTAAAGAACTCATGATTATTTTCTGAAAGATTAAAATAATGTACGGCATTCCCAAAGTTTGTGAAATAATTCCTAAAGTTTGGTATAATTTAATATACATTATATATTATATACACACTAGAGGCCCAATGCATGAAAATTTGTGCAAAAGTAGGCCTTCCTTCCCCTGGCTGCTGGCACCAGCTTCCTTCCAGCACTTGGGACTCCGGCTTCCCTCTTCTGGCCACCTGCAGGACTTGGATGACTTCCCTTTGGCCCCAGCTTCATCTGGTCTAATTAGCATATTAACTTTTTATATATAACAAAGAGGTAATATGAAAATGGTTGTCACACCCTCATGCCCTTGCGCCAGGACCAGGGGATCTGAGGCTGCGTCCCTGCCCCAGCGCCAGGGCCAGGGGACCTGAGGCTACACTGTGTGCCCTGTGGGGCTTGACATGGGTGGGGCCAGCTAGGTCTGGGTCTTGTGTAATTTTGAGATGCATGCAGGTGGGTGGGGACTTGACTCTGGGTCCCACAGCATGCCCCTGACTCTGACAGGAGGGAGAGTTTCATATACATTTTACTAATTTTCTTTCATCTTTGACACTTCTATTATAGAAAAAGGGAAAATAGCAATATTAAAATATTTCCTCTAATTAACTCCCTTTTAATGTGCACGAATTTTGTGCACAGGGCCACTAATCTACACTAATAAAAGAGTAAGATGCAAATTGACTGTACCTTCATAATGCCCACCAGCCAATCAGGAGTGTGTATGCAAATTAATTCAACAAAGATGGCAGATTAATTTGCATATGCAGGCACCACGTGCCCCAGCTGCTCCAGGCCTCTGGACAGTGTGGGGAGGCGGAAAGGCAGCTGGGCCAGAGCAAAAAGAGGCTCCAGCAGGAGTGAAGATGGTGATGGCAGCCAAGGGAAGGAAGGCCCATTCTTGCATGAATCTTCATGCATTGGGCCTCTAGTAGATTATAATTATAAATGTAAATGGCATGAATGAATGAAAAATGTATTCCTAGTTTTCTCTCATACTATTTGTTGAAAATAAGTAAGTCATAACAAATTTATACATGTCTTCCTACCTGAAGATCTGAAGAGCCTGAACTGGTTTGGTTGCACTCATTCTGCATAACTGGAAATGCGTATTTCTCCTCATCTGATGACATTCTGTAAAAAATACTATAAAACAGTAAATGTTAACTTTAGTTTTCCCCCCTCAATATTTAAACTAAAATAGAATTCCTTATATAGAGATGGAACACCAACCAAAACAATAATTGTGATATTTTAAAATCATTCAACATATTTGAGCAACCATAGACAAAATCATTGGACAAAAAAAAAGTAAAGACTCAGTTCCCAAAATTAGTGAGTTTATAAAGTAGCAAAGGAGATGAAACAAATACATAAAAGATTATAGAAAAATGGAGGCACTTCAGAAAAATCTGCATAGTAGAGGGTTGAGAAGTATGGATTGTGATCTCTGTTCTTAAAAATGTGCGACAACCCAGATGTTGTGCACTTTCTTCCAAGATGCTGAACCAAGGAGAATAAACAATTTGTGCAAATCCCTGCTTAGGAAACTTACCTCTGGGAAGTATTTTTTTTAAAAAAAGTAAACCTATACAAAACAACAGATTCTAATACACACATAGAAAAATTGTTGAAAGTCTTAACCAAAAAATAAAAATTAAAATTAAAAGTATTTTTAGTAACTAGTAAGTAAATTATTTAAAAGACAAGTAGTAAATATTCAAACTATCTGAATACTAATAACATGTAAGACACTGGTGAAGTAGTAAGATGAGTTCTCAAGGACTTTACAATCTAGAGAGAGGTGCCAGATATGCATATAAGTGACTATTAAAAAAAAGTGCTGATAGACCTAAACAAAAGAGGTGCAAAGAAAGGAGATAAGAGTAGCCATTTTTCATGGGGTGAGATCCTGAGAGTATAAAGAAGTAAGAATGAAGCCAGAGGAAATTTTAATAGAGAAAATGACCCGTGTTGAGATCTGAAAGACAGATAAAAGTTATTAGGATATACTAGGCAGTAGAGCTGCATAAGCAAAGATACAGCGGCATGGACAGGCATGCTAGGAACATAACGCTGTAAGCAAAGGGTGTAAAGCAAGGCTTGGCTGAGAGCAGCCAGGTCATGGAAGATCATGATTATGTCATGTTAAAAAGTTTGGTCTTTATTTTAGGGAAGTTATTAAAATGTTTTAAACAAGTGATATCCAGATTATGCTTGTCTTTCAGAATGATCACTCTGGCAACTTTCAAGATGAATTAGAGAGTTGGGGTCCTGCAGAGAGATCAACTGAGAGCCGAATGCAGTAGTCCAAGAAGTAAGTGTTTCCTCTGGCAGTAATCCAGGAGATAAATGAGGACCTGAATCTAGGAGTCAGCAATGGGAAGTAGAGAGTATGACTATGAGACAGTTGTGTATGGCAATGAAAATGAGAGCTCATGGTTAATAGCTGGTTCAGGGACCAAAGGGAGGAATTATTAATGGCTTCCAGGAGTCTGACTTGAGTAACTAGATAGATGATAGTGCCACTCACCACGGCAAGAAACGTAGGAGGATGAGCAGGTTGGGAGGAAGAACACTAGGCTCAACATGAGATGTTTTGGGTGTGCAGCACCCGTGAGGCACTGAGGTGAAGTTGCAGGTGTGCAGCGTATGGCCACCCTGTATGCTGTGCACCATCCACGGACTGCCGTTTACAGTGAATGGTGCTTCCCGCGTTAAACAATGTGGAAGCCCTGCTTTGGAGCTTTAGGTTGAAGATACAGTTTGAGGAATCATCAGCACAATAGAAAATGCTGGAAAACAAGAGGATAAGATCACCAAGGAAAAGGAGTGGCAGAAAAATTTTTACTCCCAAGTCCATATACCCAAGTTGTAGGCAATATTTTTAGAATAAACGCACATGTGTGTATTTTTCTAGGAAGAGAATCCTTAGCTTCCAATATGTGTTCAGAGGAAACTACAACCCTAACAAAGTTAAGGGCCACTACCACAGTGAGACAAAGGTTGAAACCACAACCACTAACATTTAAAGGGGGGAAAGAAAAGCCAACAAAGAAGACTAAAAAGATCAATAAAGCTATCAGGATGAACAAAAGCTTAGAGAAGGAAGTCAGAGTCACATACCAAAGAAAGATGAGCATTGGACAGAGTTCCTTGAATGTGACAATCAGGAAGTTGCTATGACATTCCCCTGAACAATTTCAGTGGAAAGTAGAAAAGGTCTCAACCACAGTGGGGTGAAAAGTGAGAGATGAGGAAATTGTAGTAGAAAGGGCCGATACAGGGAAACTGCAATATTAGAAGAAGCATGGATTGGGGCTAGATTGTGGAAAGGATAGCTGAACTTTATTCAGTGGGTGTTACTGAATATACACATGGTAAGTAAACTAAATCTCTGCCTGACTGTCATTAGCTAAGCCAATTAGGAAGGATAAAATAAGCACATACATCTCAGCAAGGAATGGCTGCTTCACAGGACTTCAAATCCACCACTGTGGTACCATGGTCCACCTGTTTCCATCCACTTCTTCCTTTAGGGTGTGCTTGCTGATCAATTAAGTATAGGAGCGGGGGTAGGGGGTAGGGGTGGGGAGGGGCTGATTATTTAAAAAGAAAGAAATGAACTGCAAAGTATGGCTGACTTATAAGCGTTTGACTACAGATACTGCAGACACAAAACAACTACTGTACTTTGGGGAAATAACGTTCTAAATCTTCCACCTGCCCTGCTTTGATGCCAACCAGGTATGGCAGTTTATCTGAAATTCTAAAACAGTAGCATTACTTCTCCTAGGTTCAGAAACAAAGGAGGAAAATGAAGCTTGCTTTACTGGGTGGTGGATGTATTACATCAGTTGACCAAATGTTCAACATTTTCTAACCCAAAACGTCAGAAACCAGGAGACAAAAAGTTCCGAGTGCTTCTCTATTGCCAGGTAAACCAAAGTGCGTCTTGGTAATTACCTGGCTGGTGGGGAAAGAGGCCTCCTTCCGGGCACTCAAAAGTAACACCTAAGAGGCAGAGGAGGGGTGAGTTAGGTGCGAGCTGGCAGCAGGGTGACATCCCAGACCTACCTGCAGGGCAAGGGCGGTGCGCGCGCAAGCCGCTCCCATGCCGAGGACTCGCAGCAGAGGGGAAAGCGGTTGCGAGTAAGAAAAGGACTAGTTCTTGTCGATCCTTTTCCACCTACCCCTGTTTTAATGACAGTCTTATTTAAACACAATAAAGCGTTTGACAAGGTTCTTCCCCGCCCCTTACGTTTTAAATGGCCAGAACCTAGGGGGACAGGAACCGCTATATTCGAGGCATCCCTCCTCCTGCCCTCTCTTCTCCACGACTCGGGGGGCGGGGGGGAGGGAACCTCACGACCCTGCCGCCCCCGCTCCTGCTGAGCAGCAGAAGGGCCTGGGTCTAAGGGACGATGCTCCCAGCCCGGAGCCCGGAGCCCGGAGCCCGGGAACGGAAATCTGGGCCACAAAGCTCACTTTAAAGCTCACTCGGCTGCCTCCGCCAGGGGCTCGGGGTCGCCCGGGGCGCCGCTACCCACCGTCGCAGCAGCTCTCCCGGGACTCCGACTCCTCTGTCCGTGTCGGCCCGCCGCGTCCCAGCTAAACCCACAGCCGATACCCGGGCTCCCTTAGCAGCAGCCTGACAGTTTCAAACTGCAGGGAGGAACCAAGGACGGCCCTGGCCATTGGCCCCGACCTCCAGCAACCTGGCCGGTGATTGGTCAGCCAGCCGGGGGCGGGGCTTTAGACCCCGGCCGGGAAAAACAGTAGTTAAGTTACTAAGGAAAGCCCCGCCCCCGGGTTCGGAGGGGGCGGGTCTTAAGGAACCCTGCGGAGCGTCTGGGAGCGCATGCTCAGTTCCGTTCTGCGACTGCGGATCGCTAGCCGCTTCGGAAACAGGATTTGGTTAGAGGCTGCTGAGCTGGGCCCAAGACAGCCAGGGCGGAAGGAATGCTATTGTCTTTCGATAATGCGCAGTCTATGCATAAAAGTCATCTGCATCTACAGGTGCCCTGCAACAGGATCACTTGGAGATGCTTTTTATTAAAAAATACACATTTTTATCTGTTGAGCTATAACATACATAATCCAAATGCTACATAAAGCAATCTCTATCATATAACTTTAAAAATATATAGATTTTATTTAGATGAAAAAAGTGAAAAGTTTTTTTTTTTTAATTTACCTGTTTTTAGAATTTTATATTTAAAAAGTATTTTGTGTTGGGATTTATTCAATTTAAATGAATCATTATTTTCCCAAGATGAGTGGGTATGTATTTGAAGACCATTATATTGAAAATACAAGTCACTGATTTATATCTATGGCCCTGAACACTTACAAATTTTATTAAACACCCAGAATTCTAAGAAAAACATGCCAAGTGCATAGTCATCTATAAAATCAAAATTTAAATTCAAGATTGCAAAATAACATGATAGCTCTGTCCAAACTCCAATTCAAATGACAGTTGAAGATATTGACATCTACAGTATAAAAGTATAAATTTTACCATGAGAAAGAGGGGATGAAGTTGATTTGCTGGATTTCTATGAATCAACACCCAAGCATCTTTAGAAAAAAACCACAACTTTAACAGTGAATAGTTGTCATCTCACTGGTATGGCTCAGTGATTTGAATATCAACCTGGGAACCAAGGAAGGTCAAGGTTAGATTCCGGATTGGGGCATATGCCTGGGTTTGGGGTTCAAGCCAAAGTGGGGGGCATGCAGGAGGCAGATGATCGATGATTCTCTCTCATCATTGATGTTTCTATTTCTCAGTTCCTCTCCCTTCCTCTCTGAAATCAACAAAAAACATTAAAAAAAAAAAAAGTGAACAGCTATTAATTCATTTATGGCCAGTGAAGACATAATTGTATTAACATAATATAAATATATCATCTAAATTATTTTAAATTATAAGTAATTATATCTTATTAAAATGATGAAAAGGGATTTGAAGAAAACTTAATGAATATATTGGTATCAAAAACTACCATTTAGTCATTATTTTTAAGAAAAGCAAAGTTTAATTGTGAGTTTTGCAGTTTAAATATTTTCACCCAACTAATAGTTTCTAACTGTTAACTGTTGACTGAAAACCTTAAATTTTCTCTTG